TTTATTAAACAACAACTGCTAAGCAAATTTAATGAGAGCGCACATTTATATCAAATATGAATACGTTCACCTTGCCTGTATTGCAGTTATACTTAATTCATAGCGGGATTATTATTTTTTAAGCTAAGGTGGGCCTTCCCTCCACGTTGATCGTGCATTGTTATAATTGCCAGGTACGGAAATTTCATCCTGAATTTTGCTGTGTGTCTTGTTTAATAAAACTCGTTGGAGGAATGTGTTGGAATAGGACTGTTTACTAATTCTAAATTGAAGATTCTATCTTTTTTTTTTTTTTTTCCTATTGGCAATGTGTGTAGGGAATACTCTAAATGTCGGAATCCTTCTTGTGCGGGTTGGTGAATTTCCTCCACTCGGAAAAAAAATAATAATGCCACTCTTTCTTTTCACAGAACATATGGATAGAGAAGCTATTTTAAATAGTAATGTTTTCCGTAGCGCTTAACTGTTGCCTGCCCTATCCAAGGGGGAAAATTGGGTGGGCTTTTATCACCTGGATCGGGAAAGCAATTTTGTGTTGATTGCAATACCCCTTTAACTCCGCCAAGCTCTCACTAATATCCTAATAATTTGTTTAGATAACGCCTTTGATCCGAATCTCGGTCTGCCTGGAAAAACCTCTTAACACTTGCAGTAACCCACGTTTTAAAAATCTTAACGCGGTTCTTTTTTTTCTTTCCCCTTTTCTATATTCCAGATAACCGGAAAGTAAATTTAGAAAGGTCCCGATCCCGTCACAATGGAACAGTTGCAGCAGTATGATCTCTCCATCACCCCCATGCCAAAGAACTTCTATTTTGTTCACTTCCCATGGAGAACATGATGTAAACGGAGCAAGAAGATCAACCGTGAGCAGAAATTAAAACTTAAGTCCTGAAGGATGAAATATTTTTTACGAACCTTCCTGTATAGAAGAGACAGAATGAAAGGAAAAGAAAAAACAGCTTCGTGTATATTACGAAGAAAAACTTCAAGAGCTAAAAGCAGTGTTATAAAACAGCACTATTTCTTCTTCCTCCTCCTCATCTTTTTCCCTTTTAGTATTGCCGTTCTGTGGGCAACCAAGGATGCAGATACGAATGAGGGAATTATTTGCAGCTCTCCCAAACGATGAGAATGATAATTTTTCCCCCCAGTTTTTCAATTAACAGCATCGAAAGATCAGGTCAGCGATTCAGTTTTAATTCTTATTTTGACATAAAAGGAAAAAAAATCAGCATATTAATGAATTTAGACGAACTGATACAGTAGATAAGACCCTGTCTCTTTGCAAACACAGGGGAACAGTATCCCGTCGATTTTTCACGATTCCTATTTCAGGGTTTTGAGCAGGATGGATTCAGCTCTTTGAGTTTCAATCAAAACTTTATTACAACTCTTCAGCCTCAGTGGTAGAAAGATATTTATAGCTGCTTTAAAGCAAGATTGTAGGATTGAATCAAAGTTAGACTGCACCCTTTGCAAATTCAACTAAAGAAGGAATTTTAAATTGGGCACATATATAAACTTTACATTTCTAGTTTGAGAGAGAGAAAATCTTTTCAGACTACTTTGTTTTAATCTTTGTTTAATATTTTGGAGTTTAAAATCTATCAAGGAGTAAGGAATCAGATTTAGTTTTCTTTAGCTTAGTCACACAAACTTTACACAATCTTTGGGCTAACAAAATCCTAATGAAGAAAAGAGACAGGAGGGGAAAAAAAAACCTGAACACCACTCACAAGCATACCACTCTCCTATGTATTTGGACTATTTTATGATTTACAGCAATTCTCACCAATAAGTTTACAGAAGTAACTTTGAAGCACTTTGGAGGTAGCAAAGGAAGGTGATATTACCATTTTTAAGTGTTATTTGAAACTCAGGCCAACCAGTAACAAAATTCTCACACCACATCTAAGATTCCTAACTAGTTTTGTTTTTTTTTCAAAACTTCTACCGTGTACATCAATTGTCTACATTAAATGCATGAATTTTCCATTTTAATTTTCTGAAGCATTTCTATGTGACATAGAACATCAATCACAAAACAAGTATAATAGATACCTATCTATATATTCTTTGCTTATTGGAACCTATTGCTCTTGCACGGAGCTACAGAGGAAATTGGCAAGTGCATAGGTCTGCCTTGTAGAGAGATTCTAGATAAATGCTATTCTTAATTTTCCTATGAGAAAAAAAAGGGGGGGGGGGTGGAAATGACCTACAATACTGCCCACTTTTCTTCCAAACAACACAGGGCAAGTTGAAGAACATCTATACCTCTTTATAGATATTGACTACTTACAGTAGACAACTAGATGTCCTTGTAAGCATTCCAGCCAGAGGTGGTATTCAGCCAGTTTTGACCGGTTCGCCCGAACTGGTAGCAGAAATCGCGGGTGGGCCTGGCCCCCTACCCCGGCTCTATGCCATCCTATTTAGGCACATTTGTGAGGCGCAAACAAAGCGCATGTGTGGAAGGCCGGGCGCATGCGTGGAAGGCGCATGTGTGCCAGCTTCACACATATGTTTGCGTGAAGCGGGCAGGCGGGCGTGGGGCGAACCAGTAGTAACAAAATGTGTAACCCACTACTGGTTCCAGCTAAAGAAAAGGGCAACCTTGTCTGAGGAGACTTCAATCTCTTAAGTTCAAAACCTACACCTCAGTAGGTATTATTTATTATCAAGGAGAGTTGTGGAATTGTTTATGTGGAGAAAGTACCTTGAAGGCTTTACTTATATCTGGCGTAAAGTTCAAAACCTATTGCTAATTTCACAGGGAACTGATAATGATCTGTTGTTTTGTAGAAATAGGACATCAACTAAGCGAAAAGTATCCTTGGCTTATTGCTACAGGTGTTTCCGATAATCACTAATTGTTTTGACTAAAAGAGAAAGCGCTCTGAAATTATCTCTGTAAGAATTCATAAATAGGCAAACGGTCAGATTTACCTTTCTTTAGCATAGACATGGAGACTCGAAATGTTGTTTAATACATAAAGTCAAAATGATAAGGTTGACTCAGCCTTCCATCCTTCCGAGGTCAAGTAAAATGAGGACCCAGATTGTTGGGGTCCTCAATATGCTGACTGTAAACCGCTTACAGGGGGCTGTAAAGCACTGTAAAGCGGCATATAAGTCTAAGCGCTATTGCTATTATGTGAATGGCCAAAGTGTTTTCTGACGTATGGCGTTTACAAATGATACATTGAAGCTCAAAGATGACACCAGTCATTTCCTACTAATTGAAAGCCAAATCATTCATGCATTTATCAGAGCGTCTTAAACATAACCTTCTTTTACTTGATGCATATTTTTTTTCTTTTTCTGACCATTACTGATTTTGGCTATATTATTTTTTTTAATTTCCTGACATTGTGCTGGTGAGCCAACAAATAGTTTGCAACTTTTAGAGATTTTAGAGGGGAAAAAAATCCCTAAAATGGAACAAATGCAGAATATTATCTAAACATGTTCTGGTACTTTCTCTGCCCACTCACTCTGCTGGAATATTTGATGTAAATTTAAAAAGGCATGTACCTTAATAAAGCAAAGAGAGAAATATATATTGTAAATAGAGGATATTTGTATTTATAAAAAAAAAAAAAATCCGAGAAGTATTTTCTGAACTTCATGTTGGATTTTTGAATCTTTTGATACTTTTTATTCACTCTAAACATTCAAGTGTTTTTTTAAAAAACAAACAAACAAGAAAACAACCTTGATTTTGTTATTGATGTGATTCTTGTTTTGTCATATGTTTACTTGGTGACCTAGGAAAATGTAGTCTAGCACTCAAAACATCTTCCAGATCTGCCTTGCCTTATTTGCTAATTTTAAGAAGGAAAAAAAAATCACCAAATGCATTCATTGCTTGCAAATACACACAGACGTATAAATGCATGGATGTTTGCATGTACACACACAGAACAAATATATGTATATATTTGTGTGCAGGGAAAGTTGTTTAAAAGAATAAACCAAGGGGGGGGGGAATCAGAAATTAATGGAGAAGCTTTAAAATATTCATAGCATATAGAGCTGTTTGTAAGTATTATTCTAAAACTCTGATTAGGTGTATGAAAGAAAGCTAAATTCTGTGGTTTTATACTGTTGTGCACACCATATACCGTACCACACACACTTTCATTTTCTTAAAAATAAGTAAATCAGCAGTAAGGTTTTGCTTTGGGCTACTCACTTTTCAAATAAAGCTGCCCACAGGTGTTTAGGAGACTACACACAGGAGACTATAAGCTTTGATCTTGCAGCCATCATACCCAGAATCTAAGTGATAGAAATAAAAATGTGCTAATTTTTGTAGACAGTGCTGACTGATTACTGCTTTGTAATCAAACCACTATGAAAAAATTATAAATAAGTCACCTTAAACGGTTTCTAGATCTGTGTATGTAGATGACTGTGACTGAAGTTTACCTCTCAGTTCTGACCACTATGTACTAATTCCTTCCTTCCTCTCTCCATCCCTTCTTCCCATCCCCTTTCCCTTTTTTCCTCCCTCCCCTCCTTCTCTTCCCTTCCCTTCCTCCCTCCCTTCCTTCTATTCTCCTTCCTTTCTTCCCCCTCCCTTCTCTTTCCCTTCTTCCCTCCCTCCCTCCCTTCCCCTTCCTTCCTTCCTTCCTCCCCCCCTCTCTCTCTCTCACACACACTCACTCACACACACTCCTCTAATGTTGTATACCTATATACCCACATGCATACATGTTGTATATAGATACTATCTCAAGAATGCTGTTTTACTACACATGGAGTCTTCTTTTCTTCTTCTCCTTCTCAATTAAAAACAAACTAACACTGGGGCAACATGTTTAACTCTAATTCAGATGAAAATCTGAATTCGAATGAATCCACCCTGAATTGGGGAACATAGTTTCTCTTTGTTTCTTCAGCCACTATTATTTTATTATAGAAATGAAGATATACATAATTAAAAGAAGCAACTCCTAAGTCATCTCTCAACAAGATGGATAGCGAACAAATTTGATAAATATAATTCAGAAATTGCCCCTCCTCAATTAGTTTGACCCTGTCTCAAAGCATAGGAATCAGTGCTGGAAGTGTGTGTGTATGTTTAAGTGTGTATCAATATATTAAGCTCATTTTCCCATTCTACAGCTCTTCTTCCAGCGTTATTTGAAAGTTGCATTAGTAATCACGAATGTTGTTATAAACAGTAAAAGCCTCACTATAACACATTATATTAACATGTAAGACATGAGGTACTTGCTATGTATATTCTTACATATATAAAACTGTGTATACAAGCAGAAATCAGGAATACTATTATTACTGTGCTCTAATACTCAAAAAAAATGTTTTCTTTAACAATTTAGTAGTACTTCTGATACTTGATGTATGAATAAATACCACTGAAAGAATAACCACAACAAAAGCATCTATTTGACACCAACTGTTTTCTGGGATCTGATTCTAATCTGAGCTTTGATTTCTCATTATTATTATTTTTCCCAAGCAATTCTTTCACAAGCTTTTCGGAACATGTGACATTCTTCAAATCTTTATATTTGCTAGTAATAGCCACATAACTTTGCACTTTAAAAAGTTTGAAGAAAGAATTTTGGGTCTGTGTGTGTGTGTGTGTGTGTGTGTGTGTGTGTGTGTATGTATATATGTATATGTATGTATGTATGTATGTATGTATGTATGTATGTGTATATACATACATATACATACATATACATACATACATATATACATGCATACATACATACACACCCACATATACATACACACACACACACACACACATACATACATACATACATACATACATACATACATACATACATACATACATACATACATACATA